AGTAAGAGGCATGCCTAATTATTTGAATGTCAATATCAAGGCTTCCATTGAGGGTATTTTGTACCTAAGAGCTACACTTTAAATGGGACATATGATGTGTATGAAGGTTGAATTCATTACAAAGTTCATTTCATTACATAGTTGACTAATGTCTAAACTAGTTATGTTCGTTTAACTACATTGACTCCTTTGTGATAAGGAAGAAGATTTAAGATTACAAAATAAACAATAAATTGTTGTCTTAAATACATACCTAAATGCATGTTAATTGAGGAATTAAAGTTTATTTCTGGAAAATAACATTAGTAGGTAAGTGTTATCTAATTCTGTTGCAGTGACTGCATCACGTGCACCTGGAGCCAGTTTGGAAGATTATCTGATGTACAGCACAGCACCGCAATCACCCACATTCGAAGCAAGTGGATGCCCATCATTACCAAATACACCTCCTCCATATTTGCCACGTCCAATTAATGGGCAGCTGCATTCCATGACATCTGAAGAAATACTTCAACTCTCTGGTGCAACAAACCAGGTTTTAACAAGACCAGTAGTTATTAACACTGCAAATGGTCATCAGTTTCTCTCTAACCATATCAGTATGGTGAATCCAAATCAAACAATGATGGGATACAACCCTAAAGTCTTCCAGCAAGGGAGCAGTCATGGGTCACCTAATACTGCTGTAAATGACTGTCTGGGAGCAGAGACAACTAACATTGTCACAGTGAGACCTGACCTTGGACAGATGCCTCCTCCATCTGGTGGTATTCATTACACAGAACCCCTGTGGGTACCAGTCTCATCTGCAAACCAGGCAAATCCCAATATGATTCCTAGTTCAAGTCAGTGTTTCAACCAGTATTCAGTTGGCACCCTTGGTGGCCTTCCTGGTTTTCGTCGTGTTTCAACTGCAACTGGAAGTATCTTGCAGCTGGCCCATGGCTCACCTCCTCAGTTAGCTTCTGCAGTAAGAACTCCTGGCTATTACTTCCAGCCTGCTGTAACTCCCCTGCTTCAAGCTGGGATGAGATTTGTATATGAGACCCAACAGCAACAAGATGGCATGGTTTCTCCTACTCGGCAGCCATTGACTCCAGTGAACTCTGCAGGACCAGCAAGTCCATCAGATCGCTGTCACATAGATCATCATGACGGAATGAGTGGGCAGGCTGAGCATAACTAAACATATTGTCTTATACAAAATTTGTTTACCTTGAAAACATTTAGAATGAGATTGCCAAAGTTTTGATTTATGTAATTAACTTTGTTTCAGAATTAGCTGTTTGGAATTTCTGCCATGTAATAAGTTACACTGTTTTTTCAAGACTGTTTATTCATTTTTAATCACGCTATAACAGTCCAACACTTTCTTTAAATTTGTTCATTAATATGACTACTTGCAGAATGAAGTGCTGGAATGAGTATTAGTGACAGGTGAAGTTTAGTATTGCTGGATCATTACAGTCACCAGAAATATATTTAATTTGTATGTTATGGCAGTCATTAAAATAGCAAACAAGTGATATTGTAAATAACATTTGGAGAGTTCAGTAAATAAACTTAAGAACATAAATAAAGTAAGTAACTTTCTGAATATGCTTTTTAATAAACAATTTGAGAAGTATCATTAAACTGTCATTATATTCTGATATGAATGTAAAAGTGTTAAATATATAATATGAATAGGCTCAGTTTGCGATACGTTTGAAAATTCAGTTTTAAGATAGAAAGACCTTAGAACAAAAATAAGGATACTCAAGTAGTATATGAAATAATTGATATTATGCTGAAGTAATTTGTACAGTATTTAATTATCAGTCTTTGAAACAGTGGATCTCTTATAAGCTTAAATAACGTGAGAATTTGTGGTGCATGTATGATTGTTAGATGTTTAATTTCAGCATAAATTAATACAGTTAAGTTTCAAAGACTGGTTCGTTTGGATATATGATAATGAAATTGGAATTATTAATTAGTTTTTAATCCATCACAGCACTTTTGAAATCAATAACTTTCATAGTGTAAAGAACCATTCCATAACATCTGTTTAAAATTAAAACATGCATCTGAACAAGACTGCAAAATTGTGCTTTTTATTAGATTCATGTATATTTAAATCTTATAATTGGAAATAAGTTTTTGTGTTAAATGCATAAATATAAGTGCTTTTATCATAATTCTGCACTACAATGTCTTAACATGGCAAATCTGCATATGCTGTACCTTAATAGTGGTACCTAGTAACAGCTTTGCAACTGCTCTATAATCTTTCAGTTTTTATGTTTTTTCCTTCTGTTTTGCCTTCCTGGTGGCATTTATATCACAATAATAATAGTAAAGACAGATTAAAAATGTAAGACTGAAATACCAGTAATTTTAAATGTATTATATTGGAGGTGATTATACTGGTATGTTTATTTGCAAATAAAATTAAATGGTGATGGTTGGCTATAAGAAATTGAGAGACCTACTGCGTAAGTACAGAATAATTATTTATTTAAAACACTCTGTTCATCAGAAAGGATGAAATAATCATTTTAAGGGTTTAAACAGTAAACTGCAGAGAGATGAATGAGTGTTCACAGATTTAGTTAAAATTAATTTGTAAAGTTAAAAACATCTGGTACTGTTAGTAATAAAACAATTGAATTTATTGTGCATCTGATCATTCATATTGTATTTGTTCCTGTGATGGAATAGCTGGATTTAGCAATTTGTACTGTCTTTCAACAAGCAGGAAGCGCACAGAGGTTTGTGCAGTTACATCTGACCACACATTGTGAAAGTAAGTATAATTGCCTTATTACATGTTTGTATGGTGCAGTTATATAAGCAATTAAGTATGTTGGAAGCATTGTGAAAAATAGCATTACCTGGTGAATTTGCAATATAATAATGTTAAATATGGGGACTACAATGTAAAAATTTGTGTATAATGTATAAGCATGTTGCATTGTGGATACATACAGCAGAGGCCGAGTGAGAAGTGCTGGCATTTGCACAAAGGACTGATTTTGGTCGTATGAGATGGACCAGTGTATGTGAACATCTGCAGGTATAAAAATGAAAAATGTCACCAAACAGATATGGCTGTGAGATTTCAGGATCTCACAGTGGCGAATGTGGCAGTGGATGTCTTCTGGTTTGAACTGCCGTGTAATTTGGTAGAATGTTTCAGAGGTGCTCATTGCCCTAGCGATAGCGGCAGTAAGCATATCAGAAACGTAGGTAAACTACACAGTGCAACAAACCAGAAGGAAGCTACTGTCGGACATGACTTCAGGGTGCTGACGAACAGAATGGAAATTATTTGAGATCACCGAAAAAATGCATTGGAAGATGTAAAGGCATCGGTTCTGAAGAAAGCTTATCCACGAAACACCCTGGTAATAATCTGTGCCGTCACGATCAATACATGGCGACCTATGCCGGTTACTTCCTGCCGCGCATTGGACATGTGTACCAATCAACCAAAAAGCTAACTAAGAGTGGAGCCCTGCAAAAGACATTGTTCCTTGCTAGGTAACACCATTCCTGCGTACGAAACGCATTACTGTAAATGGTAAACAGAGCCTTATAACTGAAACGTGAATATGCTTACGCTGACGGGGGTTTTGTCGCGGCGGGAGCATGACTATTCAAACTGGGGTCTGTTTGCTGCTGATAAGAGGTTATCCCGTCAGGAACATGTCCGTTGTGCAAAGAATTTTGGTTGGTCGTATGTGCATTTCTTCGTTACTTTTATAGTCGCAGTTGGATACATTGACTGCTAGTTTTTAATATGTACTATGGAGCATTAGTGGAACTTGGGCGGAGGTGAGAGGTTAGTCGGAAAGGTGTTTCGCACGGATGTTGCATGTTTTAACCGAATAGAAGAATTCATTCGATTATTCCCATTACTATAAGTAAGGTACGGCGACAAAACAAATATGTATTTACTACGAACAAAAGGCTTGTTTTTACGTTTCCCTGATTGAAGCAAAAATGAAAAGGTTAGTGTGTTGCTTTCGCTTCATTTATAGAGAACTTTAACCATTGCCTTTGTGCATGTTATGTATCCCAAACTCATGCATTTTCCTTAACGCTACATCCATCTTATCTCATGACTGTAAGAATCAGTATGAGGAAGAGTAGAGTAGAGTTGAGTTTTACATTAAATAGATCCTTCTTAGGACTCAACCAAAGGATGTAGAACATGTCATTTCATACAATATACATACACTTCAGAACTTTCAACACAAGTACAAGAACGTATTTCACATATCAATGTACATAAATTTCAGATTCTGCAATACAAGTATGAAAAATAATTTTACAAATTAATATACATAAACCTCAGAATTTTAAATATAAATACAAAACTTGCTTTAACATATACATAGATTATGGATATAAAGCTTAAACATTTTCAGCAGAGATGAAATCATCTACAGAATAGAAGGAGTGAGTAATGAGGTAATCTTTCAATGCAGGCTTGAATACCTTTATATCATAAACAGGAATTATGGAGAATGACTATTGAATTTACATTTTGCACAAAGAAAGATAATAAAACTTTCATTCCAGACATTCTGCTATGAAATTATTATTTATATCTTTATCTGGCAATGTAAATATATGAGAATTGTGTTTAAAGAAACATCATTTTTAAATAGTTATATTTTAAAGAAGTCAACCAGTTTACCATTTTATTAACCATTGGTTGCCCTTTAGTTTGAGCTATACTACATTTCCAGTGAATTCATACCTCCAACATAATATTAGGTTGGATTAGTTAATAAGTTCCCCTGAAATGCCCTTTAATATGTATGAGACTTTGTGGTACCACATCCCAGAAGACAGCCAACTTCATGCTTGTCATCATGAGAACTTGAAATCTTGAATGAATTTTGATTCTCTAGTGACAGACTATGACACAACTTGTTGCATATTCTTGTAAGGGGAACATAAATTTATTTACCTTAACCATTACCTTAGCTGTTACTGATAAGGTAATGGGCTTGAAATATGATTGGAGGTGTGATGGATCTGTTAGTTGACAGGACTTCAGTAAAGGGAACTGCTACCAAGAATGGGGAAGATTAAAAATTGATAGAAAGAATTGCTAGTTGATCTAGTGAATAAACACTGCAGCAGAGGAAGAGAAGGGTTTAGGTAGTGCCATCTGTGAAACATATCAACTTTCTGGGTTTTTTGGCACTGACATTACCCAGGAAAATAATTCTTAATTAAATATTGATGTTTCTGCTGAAATGACTTCAGTTGTAAAATTTATCTTTTGAGTGTTACAATGTGTATTCTGCATGTAGTGGACACAAGCTGGAGGACCGCCCGTTGTTGTCTGTATGTGGCTGCTTATACCATACATATATTCTTAGGTGCTCTTCTTATTAGGAGGTTGTGTCCCTCCATCCTCATCCTAAAGACATGCCATGCCATGACAAGGGACAATGTTAGCATTATACAGTAGATACTTATGACACTCACATATGGTGGAATTTCCACTAAATTTCTTTTGGGGTATCTGGATGGATTTGTGGAGATATATTACAAGAGCGTATTTCTCTCCTAGGTATCATTTCCAGATCAGGTGTAGGGCCCACCCAGCCTCTTATCAATTTGCTACTAGGGGCTCCTTCCCCAGCTGTAAAGCAGATGGAGTAAGAAAATGACAGCTTACCTCCATGTAGTGCTAAGGGCAGGATAGAGTGGATCTGTACCTCGATTCCCTAAAATTGCTTAATGGCATGGTGCTTAATAAGGACCTAGGACAGCTTTACGTATAACATGATTATTAAACTATAATTTTATGTGAAAATATTTTGTTGCTGTGAGGTTGGTAATGCTTATTTTCACAGCTGTGGTTGGGTACTAGTTAACCTACTTTGTGTTGGTTTTAGCTTCTTGTAGTTAGAATCTGACTTCATTTTTATAAATGAACTAATTTTATTTGTAAGAAGTAATGCATGTACACATGAATTTTAAATGGTCAGTGATGTACCATGACTTGCATTATTCAATTTACAAGTTTGTGTTTCTTTTTATTTTTACAGATTGCAGATGTAACAAGTACTTCAACAACAAAAACTTACTCTTGCATGCCATTACCCAAGCCCTTAAAAGGATACTTTTGGACAAGGCTTAAGAATTGTTTCATTGAAATGCTAAAGAATATCAACTGTATACACTATATCAGCATTTCTGACTCAGTGGTTGCAGTATATTATTAACCCAAAATATTTCCCTTTTATGTTATATAATCATGTATATCTGACTGTGGGTATAAAAATCCTTTTTTATCAATACCCTCTTTTTTATTTTGTATATCCAGCTAAAGGTTTGAAGTTCTCATTTTGCTGGCTCTTTTCTTATTTGTCTCTGTAGCAGTGTGAGTAGGTATTCAAAACATTGAAATGAAGAGAATTACCTGAATAATTTCTCTACTTGCAGAGGTGCATTATTAAATTTTAGTGGATTTAAATATTTAGGTTTGCACAAGTTATATCTCTACAGGCAATCTTGAATGTTGTTATAAGTGGGTTTTGTTGACATATTTGGTTTCTTGCTTCTCAAATCAAATTCTGTTGGAGGGCAGTATGGCTTAAAAATCTGAAGATGGAGAATCCAAAACAGTTGCCTCAGTTAAATGCATCTTCACAGCAATGGAATCATCTGTATCAGGCTGCTCAGTTCTCTCTATATAAGCACATACAGAATAGACAAAGAAGCTTGAATGAACATGCTGTGTCTGATTATTATTCATATCTTTCTGTGAATGTGGCAAAGAAATCCTTGCTGAAAATTGTGCCTCAGGTAAAACGGAATATATGTAAAGGTTGTGAAGGACTACTACTTCCTGGAGTAACAGCACGGGTTCGTATTCTCAAGAAACCATCTAGTGTTATTGAATGGAGATGTATAAGATGTCAGGCATGCAAGAAATTTCCTTCTGTTCGGCATTACGAAGCTTCGTTTGAAAGTTCAGCTCTTAAATGCCAAAATATAGGAGCACAGAAAAATGGACATAAGATTGACAGTGATTACAGAGTTAAGATAAAAGTCAATAATTTGGGACTTGAGG